TTCCCCTCAGCATCGTTTCCCCTGCTGGGCCTGCCCAAATGTGTTCCTTGATTATTTTCTCTAGCATTTTCCCAGGAATAGAGGTAAGACTGACTGGTCTAAAGTTGCCCGGCTCATCCCTTCTCCCTTTCTTGAAAATGGGTACCACATTGACCCTTCTCCAGTCCTCAGGGACCTGGCTGGAGCACCACGAGTGCTCGAACAGCTGTGCCAGTGGCTCAGCTATGACACTGGCCAATTCTTTCAGCAGCGGTGGATGGCGGTCATCCGGGCCTGCTGACTTGTTCCCATCCAGCTCCTGCAGGAGCTCCTTAACTATTTCAGAACTAACCGTAGGCGGACTGGTGCCATGTGGACATCCGTCAAGGTTTATCATGTTGATAGTAGCCAACGTAATTTTGCCACTGAAAATTTGGCAGCTCTTTCTTCTGACTGTCTTAGAAGGACCAAAGTTTGTATCACAAGGCAACTGAGACTATTGTAGCTTTTTACAATTTCCTTTTTAAGTTACTTCCGTATATTTGAGCACTAGTATGTGTGTGCTTGTGTCTTTGCATCTGAACCTGTAACATTTAAAGCCTTGAAATAGCCTAGAGCATTCATGGTGGTTGAGAAATGAATCCAGTAGATTTCAGGCCCAAATCTACCACAGGATTTAGGCAAAATGTAGTTACCTAAATCCAAAAGTGCTCTCCATAAATCCCCCACCTAACCCCTTCAGCATGGGAAAGTCTCTAGACACCCACGTTTTTGCCAGTAAAGCTTCCTAGATAACAAGAAATATCTTTCTATGCATGCCCAAAACTGCCACAATCTTGGTAGAGCTGTGCCAAACTTTGATTGGGATCCACAAATTAGATGTTCCTGTACTGAAGCCCTCCGAGGGTCCCAGTCCAGTAGTCATGCTCAGAGTCTATTTTTGTGCATCGTGTTCATCAGTTACTGGGTAAAATGCATCAATAGCCTTGGGAGTAGGGCCCCAAAATGCAGGATGCACTTCCCAGAAGAAAGTCCTCATTGCTCCAAAGTCATGCTCACTCTTGCTTTTATTTCCTTGTGCTATGAATCTTGCATTCTTTGCTGCACAGTAGTCCAGTTTCAAGAGTAAGGGTAGAAAATGCCCCATTGTAGGCTGATGGTTAAGAAACTACCCTGGGAGGTGGAAGACATAGGTTTGAACCCCCTCAGGCTGAGGAGACCATTGAACCTAGGTTTCCCACTTCTTGGGCATGTGGTGTATCCACAATGTTATTATATAAAAGATGGGTACCATCATACCATCTTTTTTTTTTTCCTTTTTCTTTTTGAGGGAGTGCGAATTGGCCATACCCAGAATAGCTTAGGAGCCAAAGTCCAGCAAAGAGTCTGGGGCTGTGAATTCTAAACTCACATAGGCACCTAACTCAGAGCTTCAGAGGGAGCAGCGGGAGGTGCAACTTCAGACAAACCCTTTTTTCAGCATTTCCTATTGGCTTGCTATGGTGCACTCTTGCACATCCATTCCTAGGCACCTAATTCCCCCTGTGTATTGTACAGGGTGCTAAGGCCCTGTGCTCGAGGTGAGTTCCACTCTGGGAGCCTGGAGCCTGATAGGTAGGTGAGGTGACTCTGAGTATTACTGTACCTCATTCTTTTGTGGATCTGGACCTGGGTGCTTCCTTTGAGACCCAACAAACTGTACATTTCTTCCCATGGGGAGGCAGCATTTATTTATTTTTATATATATGTATGTATGTATGTATGTATGTATGTATGTTCTCAAGTGAACATTCTGTACAATTTAACTTCAGGATTGTGTTAACCTCTCTAAAAATTAAGGGTAACAGTAATCGCTTCTAACAAGATTCTGGAAAAGTGAGCCTGCAGATTATGAGAACTCAAATCAGATGTTTGGTAGGATACTTGGAGAAGTTTACAGGGACTGACTGTAATAGTCTTGTTCTAATTTCTCAGTAAATTAACTATGGCTGCTGTATGATCTTTTGTATAGAGTTATAGTTTTCTGGTAGGGATATTTAGTGAATAGCATGTAGATATAGAAAAATTAGGATGTCAGTAACTTCCTGAAAACGTAGTTATTTGTAAAAAATATTTATGTGACGATGAGTGAGAGAGAATATTGAGCCATTTTTATCAAATATTTGAGGCTTACTTGATGTGGTGGTTGTCATTTTCCATAGTCTCTAATTTTAATTTTCTGAAATGTTCTTTTTCAGTGTCAACCAATATGATTGAACTGTCCACGGTGGAAGCAGCAGTCCAAGAATGTAGCCAGTCATTAGATGAAACGATGTACGGTGACATACATTTATTTTTATTTGATGTTTATGGTAGATAGAGTGGATTCACTTATTTCTTCTTGTGGAAATGAATGTCAGACACTTTCTGTAGTGCTAAGCAGGCAGTAATTGCTCTGTTTTGCTTTTAATACTTGGTAATGTTCTTTCTTTGGAAATCAGTTCAGCGAGAGAGAACTCTAGGGAATTGTAATGCAGTTCTTACATTCTGAAATTAAAAAAGTGTTGCTTTTTGTTACAGATATTGAATAATTATCTATGAAGATACGTAAATAGACATTTTTTGGAATTACCTTTATTTCTGTGTGCTTATGTTGAACTTTGATTTCTTCTGATTAGAATCAGTCATATTATTTTTCTGCTTTTCTTATCACATTTTTTTTTCTTGAAATACTTTACAGAAGTTTTTTTTTCCCCAAGTGGCCACTTATTTTGCTTTTACTAGGCTTACTAGCTTTTGAAAGCTATATCCCCTTTTCAGGCTCAGATAAATAGTGGTATTAATTATTTGGACTGCTGAGAGCATTGTCTGTATCTGTATGATAGATATTGGTTTAACATTTATTTGTAATGTTTTGAGGCTAGCAATGCAAACTAACTAAAGCAGATAATATATTAAGTCAGTCAATAAAGTAGTGTAACCCATAGTTTCTATGTAAGTGGGCATGGTCCTATTTGACTATGAATGTATTATTTTCTGTCCATTTATGAGAACCTTAAAAACATAGTTCGTGTGTGATTTTTTTTTTTTTTCTTTCCTTCACATCTGTTTTATAACATATGCACAGTAGTTCACCTGTGTCTGGGCCTGAATTTTGAAGAGAAATCTGTATGGCTAGATCCTCATGGCAGAGTCCTGCTGAGGCCAATAGAACTCCATAGGCCAAAGGGTCCAACTGTCTGAATCTTGTGAATTATCTTATGATAAGACAAAGCCTCTATAAGAGAGGCATGTTGGACCAACACTTCTGCAGTTCTCTCTGAGTCAGTGAATGTTTTGTGCTTTTAAGCTTCAGTTACTGCTGACGTTAAAGGTCAATGTAATTGTTGTCTACTTTGAAGTTGATCTAGTTAGCATGTGGTAACAGAATATACTAGAGAATGGAGATCAACCAGTAAATTCTGTGGTGGATAACATTTCTCTTAAATGTTCCAATAAGATGTACACATACCTAGTAACCACTATTTAAACATTCATATATTTTCAAGCAAGGTACTAATATAAATTAATAAAGAAAGAAAGAAAAGAGCATGTTATGTATTTTCCCCTCTAGTTGATTTGCAAAAATTCTGTAAATAAGAAGCTGGTACAATGGCTGGGATGCGGGCAGGAAACGGATGAAGGATGTAAGAGTTAGCTGTTTTTTGTTTTGTTTTTTATATGAGAGTGTTTCTGTTGGACGCTAAAATTAACTATTCTTTTAAATAGACCTTTCCTCAAATAAAGATTTACATTATTGTGATTTCAGAGAAAACGTTTTCAGTATTATCGGGGCCTTCGATGTTCCACGTTATATTTATAATTCAGAAAGGAAGAAGTTTCTACCGTAAGTCTTTCCCGTCTTAAGTTTCACCTGCTTGTTTAAAAAGTCTTCATTTTTGTGTGGTTAAAGTAGCTTTCTCAAAACTCTTGCTCTTAGATCCTTGCTCGTCTCTCGATTGGTGCTGTGGGAACACAGCTTTTATGAAACTTTGATCACAACAAACTTTTTTTTGAGACACAGAGAAGCTTTTTCCCCTAAGTAGGCTTTATATTTTCTATACACGATTGAATGGGTTCATTAGGTTAGCCTGCTTTATCATCCTTGTAAATTCATAGATTCATAGATGCTAGGGTCGGAAGGGACCTCAATAGATCATCGAGTCCGACCCCCTGCATAGGCAGGAAAG